TTCAGACTTTATTTTCTTATCGCTCTAGGATGTTTTTTGGTCTTGGTTCCCCTTTTAGGATCCTTCTTCTCTCCACTGGCATACTTTCAGTCTTTTAGAACTGGCTTTGTTCTTTCAGAATAGCCTCCATTCTCAAGTCCCTTTGAGATCAGCCTTTTGGATTATCAACATTGCCAGTATGACAGCAGCCTGGGACAGAGGAATAACTGTGATGGCTTCTTTTCTTATCAGTAGATAATTTTGTTTGGTTGGATGATGAAAGCTTTCTCTTGTTACTCTTCTCTTGGTACATGGCTTTCTTCTGACTTCTTCCATCTTTTACCTCCAAGTGGGGGCAGCAAACAAAGCCCAGGGTCAGCTTGGAGGCTGCTGACTGCCTTGCATGCAGAAGGAACAGCTGCAGAGATGAGCTGCATTCATAACTGCTCGGAGTTGCATGAACTGGTCTGTTCACAGGAGGCATACAAGGTTAAAGCAATGAAGGACACAAGGCATTTGTGAACCCAAACGCATTTTGATCCTGTCAACTAAACTAAATGGGAATTTTTGCTTTTCTAAGGTGCTGCACAGACGTACATGTTCCCTTTGAGAAGCCAGTTCTTATTTGCATGTTTCTTAGTCTTTGTTCCTTCCTCTCCCTCTATGAATGTAGACACAGTCTTGATTATGAAACTGCTGATAACACTTAATTGTGCCTGGTTTGTTTTTTGGTTTGGGGTTCGTTTAGGGGTTTTGTGTTGTTGTCTTTTTGGTTACGGGGTGCGGTATCTTTCTATTCCTATTTAGTACATAGTATAAGAGTTCTGCCTTCCACCTGTGAACAATTTCTGGTCAAATGGTAGCAGAATTCCCATTTTCCATCCCTGTCTTCTCCTTTCCCCATTCAGCCTGTGATCAGTTGCTTTATGAATCCTCTAATGGGGGACATTAGCAATGAGTAATTTTTTAAACTTCTTCTTGCCATTGCTTTATATTGATTAGTATGCTACTTCTGTAAGTTAAAATAAATTGAATAAATTTGACATCTAGCTGGGTACATTCTATCCAGAAATAAGATTCTAATATTAAATTATAATTTTAGAAAGGGAGGGGCAGTTATTTACTGTCCTTAAATAACCTAACTTTTGTTACAGTGCTCTGTGTGTGTGTAGTTATGTGTGCCCATGCACTAATGGCTGATCTCCCTTCATTTTAGGGAGATTCTGGAGGTCCCTTGGCCTGCACAGGAAAGGGAAATAGGTGGTACCTTGCTGGCATTGTGAGCTGGGGTGAAGGATGTGCTCGGCGCAATCGTCCTGGTGTATACACTAAGGTGACAGCACTTTATGACTGGATTCGTCAGAACACAAACTGATGTGCCAAGGAGAAAATGCAGATCATCTCCCTTATGAAAGCTGCTTCCTACAGTGCTCTATCACGTCCATCTCTGATGATATTAACATGAAAATGCCATTGACTGTTTCTTTGTGAAAGACTGTATTATCTTAATGAAGAAACCATCATTTGTTGCTCACCTACCAGTAACTGTTCAGATTCAGAGATAATTCAGACTTATTGTGGATTCATCTTTCTTATCCCTGGTAGCAGAAACAGCACTGCCTTAAAAACAAACTAAAATGGATTAGAACCTGTAATAAAAATCCAGCCAAATCTCTCTTCTGCAAATCATGTCCCCTCCTTCCATCTCCCTTGCTATCGATGTATATGTTTCCACACGTCGGCTTATTCATGGCTACATCCCACATATACTCAACTCGTATATATTACCTTAGTAATATTAAAGGATTCTAAACATAAATAATTATTTCATGTTTCTTGAAAATACAAATACTGTAATCAGTATAGTGTGCAAAGCTGAGAGTAATTCATTCTCTAGTTATGCTGCCACAACACAACTGTTTCTTTCTGGGCTGTAACTTTTGGGCTGTATCCTGTGTTTTCATAAAGACGTCAGATACATAGCTCAGAAATGTTAGGATGCAAGAAATTGTCATTAAGGAACTGGAAGAGCATAATTTAGATTCTTTAGGATGATGTTTAAATAAGAGGAAAGAAATAGTTTTAATTAATTAAACAGAAAGAAACTTTGGTTCTTTCTTATATTCTCTTTACAGTTGGAACATAGTTATAGGGTCTCATATTTGCAATATGTTACATGTATTTCCCTGTCTCTGGCTGTGGCATGCTCATGAATTTTAATGGGCTCCTGGTGGGTTCACACTGCTTTTCCTCTTGTCCTTGGTCTGCAGCAAGCAGAGTTTCAGGGTCAGGATTTTTGTTTTTTGTCTTTCCCTGGGCTGTTCCCACATGGCCACACGACATTGAAAAGGACATAAAAAGAGAAGGGATTTATGTAGTTGGATGCATCCTTGGACTCAAAGAAAGCAGAGTAGGAAATAACAGCTATGTTCATTTAACCCTAGCAGTAAACCTAGCTTTGATAATTATAATATCCCGATGAGCTGATCAGCCCAAATCTAGCTGATTTAAGGTTTTCAAAGCTGTTTATAAGATTTAAGAATGCTGGTATTCAGTTTAATAAAAGATCTATCTAGATGGTCTTAAGACTAGATGGTCTTTCTAGATGGTCTTAAAATTGTGCTCAGTATTTAGAAAAGTTTAGCTTTCACCTTTAATGTATATATATATATAAAAAAATGAAGCCGGAAGTTTGAATACCAGTCATTGCTGTCCACACAGCACACTTACATTCTACGATGCATAAATATGTGCTCCTTGTTTAGTTTTAGACACACCTTCGCAGCATGTGGGGAAAACATGGGAACGAGCTAGCACTGTAATCTTCACACAGTGAGATTCCCGCATCTAACAATGATATTGTTTTTCCTTCCTTTCTTGGGCTAGTGTTGGGCATTCCCCCTCCCAAATGCTTCTGTCAAACTTGCTACATAAGCTCGACTTGAAGCCCATATATTAGGGGGTTTATTATCTTTAAAGGCTAGTCATTCATTCACATCTTCCTTTTTAATAAACACATGCTAAAAATGCAAGTGGCTATGTTTTATTCATTTGATTGTGCCTCTGAAACTTTAATTCCCAGGGGCAATCAGAACTACATTTGTACCTTGGAGTTTCCTCTTTTTGTAAAGCTGAGCCTAACTTGCTCATTTTACTGAAGCACACATTTAAGGGCACAAGTTTCTTTTCCTTATATTGAAACCAGAGATGTCTTTACTACGGAAGAAAACAGTTTTCCTGCTGTTCTGTTTTAGATAAAAGCCTAAGCCAGAACGTTCAGATCAGTTCTTGACTTCCCATTTTCTTTAAGAGTTTTGCAGCTCCATGCATTAAAAGGGTCAATTACTTCACATGCAAGAAAGGCACCAGTGTGGAAACTGGATCAACCAGATTAAAGAAGCTCAAGAATTTGTAAGGAGCTCCTTCCTCAGATGTAAATAAAAAGGACTTTGCCTTTTCCAGAGTGAGATCTATAATCATTAACTCATTTGACTTAGAAAAACTGTTTTGGTTTCAGACAATTCAGTAGGAAGGTAAGGTCTTTTACTGGGAGTGAAAATGAAATAAATGAAGCTCATCTCCAGCAGGAGTGCTGAGAAACAGCAGGAAAAGGCTTTTTCTAGTGAAGATGTCCCAGGTAAAATCTTGTGGATCCAGACACACGTTTTGATCTTGATGACTGCTCGGTTTCATGCTCAGTCCTCCGGAGTTTTAAGGATTCTCCAGAACAAAAAGGTGGGGTGTGCAATTTGTATTTCTTTTTATTTGCTGAATGAAACAAAGCCGTGCACTCAGCTTGATGGAGTGCCTTTGCCTGGATGGCTGTGACATGACATCAGGAATCTGAATGCCTGGGAATGCTCTAGGCATCAATAGCCAGATGAGTTGCACAATCTGGGGGGAGGAAAAGCATCCTCAGCATTTGGCAGGAAAAAGAAGGCGCCAGTGCTATGAGTGGATGCTCAGCCAGCAAGGGAGGGAGTTGGAGAAAGAGGCTTTGTTTTCCTCTTAATCTGCTGTTCTCTTTGTGCTGGGACAAGAGAGTGAGCAAGAGTGCAGTTACCATCTGCCTGCCCAACCCTTTTGATCCAGAGGGGAGAGAGGTGCTCTGTGGGAAGAAAGGATAAACGTGAGGATGGAGTCAGAGCAGAAGAAATGAGAGAAGGTAGGATGAAGGACACTGGAGGGGTGAGAATCAGCCACTGGCTGCAATAAATTGTTATTAGTGACTCTAAGTAGCATGGGAGAGTTCATGTGGGAAGCTGGTACCCACCAGATCTCAATTCGCGACATGAGTTGTTTCATAAAAGCATGCCCTGTAGAGTATAGGCTGAAATTGAAGGCCATCTTCCTCTTTTCTTCAGATTTCTTTTGGTTTTTTACATGGAAGCAGCTTCTCAGGTTTAGGTTGGATAGTACGTGAGTAGACATAAATGGTTCTTTAACAGCAGACTTGATTTTAGGCTGCATAACAGCTAGAGAGAAGGCAGTTCATGGCACAAAGGTCAGTAGTGTTCATTTCTTTATTGACTATACAGGGAGACTAAAATTAGAAGTGCTGATGGATGTTATAAGCTCGCTTCACAGTCTAACCAAACCACAACCTATGTGATCTTTCACTCAGTTTGTGCTGTTCAGAATCGCTTCTGTCTATTTAGCTGCATGGATAACAGCAATAATATTTTACTGTTTCACCTGAATGTCTCAGCAAATGACAACATTGCTGAAGGTTTAGTCACCTGGTTGTCAAGAGCTGGTACAGTAAGCTGGACAAACTGGAAAACCTAGTATTGCATAGCTGAGGGCTGTAGCTCTGACTACTCGGCAAATCGATACTCCCTCTGCCTCCTGTTTCTCTGTAGATAGTACTGATGACGTTTTTTGTCCTTCCAAGGAATTTCCCTTATTTATCAGTGTTTTGAGATCACTCCTGTGAAAGTTATCTCAACTCTCCCTGTTACCGTCTCCAGCCTCATACCAGAACTGCTACTGACCATAACTGCAGCTGAAACCAGAAGGAAATGAGTTGCCTCCCTGCTTGCTTCGGAGTCAGAGGTCCTCGTGCAGATACAGCAGCTATGAAAAGACAAAACTCTAGTCAGGAGCATGAGGTTATTGAGCTACAAGAAGATAATGACATGGAGGAAAATGACGCTGATCATGGCAATCCTTTAAATGCTCGAACACGAAAGGTAGGAATTTCACTTGATCATTTGACGATTGCTGCTGGGGAAAATACCACACGGCAAGAGAAAGAATACTTTGCAGGAATACCCTGTAAAGGTGGTTTAATTCGGTGGTTGAGGGAGAGGGAAAGTTTAGTCACTTGAAAGTAAAGGCTGAAAACCTGTTAAACGTACTTCTTTTCTTCTTCTCAATGCAGTATCCTAATACTGCGGTGGGATTTTAAGCTTTGTTTTTCTCTTTTGTGCTTGGCTGTTTGTGAACTTTCACTTAGAAAATGCGTTTGTAATTGGTACTCTGAGTTTTGCTTTCTCTTTTTATGTGCTTTCAGTGGGATTGGGCTCAAAACCAGACGGGAGAAAAGTTGAAACCCATAATAAAAACAGGCTTTCTTTCAGAACAAATTAATCAGAAAACAGTGCTGCCAAAACAAGAATAGGATGTCCTGCAACAGACCGTGCTGGATTCTCTCTCTTTTTATTTTTGAGTAATTTGCAATTGCTAACAATTATGAATTTGTATGACTAGAGTGCCCCAAAGCCTCAGTTAAGACCAGCGGGTGAGTCCTGAAGGAGGTAGCTCCCAGTGTTTAGATTAAAACTATGGAACAGACCAATGCTGGCAGAGGAGTAATATATACTCACAGGTGACCGTTGTACAATTATTTTCACTACTTAAGAGCAGAGACAATATCTGTGGCAGAGCGAAGACGTTTCCCACTTTTCTGTGAGGATGGCTGAACCCTCCCAAGAGTTTGGGTGTATTAGTCACGCCACCCCTCCCTTCCTGCTCCTGGCTGAGCAACAGTGACTGCTTCCTTGTGGGAGCCCACTGATCATCTCAGTGGGCTGATTCATTCCACTGGCTAGGCAAAAAAACCCCATTTACTCTACTATATTGGGGGCCAGTCACTTCTCCTCTGGTCTGGTAAGCTGCAACAGCTTGCTGCAGGGTCAGGCAAATTCTAGGGAGGTGCAAAGAGGAACATGAGGGTGGAGGAGAGGCAGGGGTGAGCTAGATCCGCTCGGCTATCTTGAGAAACCGTACCCTTAAGTTTCTATTTAGCCTTCCCCTTCCCAGAACTGAGTTTTCATTTGGGTTCTGTTTCTGCTGATTCTGGCAACTGGCTTCCTATCCTATAGGGACTGCTGGAAAATTATCGGGCTCTGCTTCCTGCTTAGGTGGCAGGTTAATCAGAAGAACTGCCCTGCCCACCGGGAGAGAGATTTTCTCTGCTGCTGCTCCCTCCCGGCAGTATTGCGATGTAAATGGCAATGGCCAGAGGGTGTTGGCCCAGCTGGTAGGGGATAGTTGGAGAGCTGAATGTTTGCTCGAGAACGAACCAGTGTGTTACACGAGATTAAGAATTACACTTTGGTCTAAATATGTGGCTCAACCAAAACTTGGGCTTGGTAACTGTCTCTTTCAACATATATTATTACTATGTTTGATTTCATAGTTGTACTCTAGGCAGTAGTTACTGTTTTTTTTTTTTCTTTTTTCAAATATAAAACAATAGTGTCAAGTATTAAATTGAAGCTTCATTATTCTAATATATTTTACAAATAAAATATATATATGTAAACATGATCACATCTGAAAGCATGTTGTAAGGGAAATCGTATTCAGCCTTTGCCCTTTGTTCTCCGATATGAAGTTCTACACGCAGGGGCGTCTGCAGAGAGTGCTTACCCTGTCTCTGCTCCCACTCCTGAAAAAATGACTCTTGTAAGATCTTTCTGTGGATATCTGTTTTCTCTCCCTGTTCATCTGCCACCCCAAAAGAAGCTTTAAGCCAGCTGGTGGATGTCAGTTAAAATAGTGAAAGGCTTTCTATTATGCTGGGTTCTTAGAAAGTTCAAAAAATAAAGGAAGGTAACCTGGGTTAGTGCCTCCAGCTGGCAGCTGGTTCCTGCCAACCTGCATGTGTGCAGCCCACACACAACCTACAGCATGTGCTTTTCCTTGCCTGGTACTGATGTCAAAGCGGACATGGAGTTTACCACTGGATTGATGGTGGATGATGACGATGAGGAATTAAAAAGGCGGCATGGTCTACTTATGAATTCATGCCCTTCCTTTGGTTTTCTATCTGTAGAACAAAACAGTTGGAGTTCTTTATGTGTTTTGCTATGTCACCTAAGCTTTTTTCTTTCTTTTCTTTTTTTTTTTTAATATTAGTACTGCTAGGGTAACTAATTAAAAGATTAATTTCTTCCATGGTCTTAAATCTTATTAAATTTAAATGAAAGGTGAGTATTGTCCTTTCTTTCCTATATAAACGCATAGGTATCTACAGCTCCTTTAAGTTTCCTTGTGATCTCCAAGAAGAGATGAGATTTGTAATAAACTTTCTGTTAAATACACTCAATAGCCTTCAAGTTTCCAATCTTCTGAAGAAAAAGGGAGCTGACTGTAAAAGTCTCAGGTTTTTTAGAGTATTCTTTAATGCAATAGTAACTTATGAATAGCAGTCGACTTGTTTTGGCTGCTGGCATCTAGGAGCTATGCAGACCGATATCACCAACATTGCAGAGCTGAATGATTCTGGAAATTCCTCCACAGACACCTTTTTGGTTGGCAGGGGTAGCAAACATTAAAACTACAGCTTGCAGAACATACGAATCAAATAGATGTAGTTCGAAAAAGATTTGGAAGCCATGAAAGCACCTTTGTAGCACCTCAGCTTAATGGGTAATTCAGGAGTTGGAAATTCTTCACAAATGGGGAATGATACACCTCTCTCAAGTATTAGCCTGTCTGTGAATGTCTTTTGCCTTCTTCAGGTTTACATTCCCACCTGCAGCAGTAGTTAAGGGTGGGAACCCCTGCTGTAAGGCATTGCTTACCAATGAGACTCTCCCATCTATGTGGGGTTTTTTGTTTCTAAGTTTTACAGCAGAAACCTGCTTAAATATTTTTTCCCTCCTTATTTCATTAATCAACATGCCTCTTCCTTTTGTAACTAGGTGCAAGATCACTGGAAATCATGCGGGAATATAGTTTTCTGGAAGTGTAAACTATGGATGGTTATAACTACAATTTTTCTAGTATTCTTCCTGGTCATTCTCATCAGCCTAATTCTTTATTCTAGTAAGTATCTCACTCCTGGTTCACCCTCTAGTAAAAATGTACAGTATGTACAATCTAATATAACACAAATAGAACAGTAGTATCCTTTAAACTTTTGTAAACTGCTGAAGGGACTGGGATGCTGACTGCAGAGGGTGGTGCATTGAGTAGCGGATGAGAACGCTTTTAGTTTAGCAGGCAACAAAAAACTTGCATCCTGATCAGATGACAATTCCAGTTTGTAGCTAAGTGAGCAAGTGTTATGAGAAGAGTAAGGGATGAGGATGGAAATTATGCTTGTAACATCGCAAGAGGTGCAATGGATAACTTATGTCCTCTCACATGGTCTCAGTGCTTGTCAGGCTCCCAAAGCATCTGGCTTTTGCTAATGGGGGCAGGTGATTGACTTCAATGTGCTGTCACTTTTCTTCAGGTGACTTGCTCTTTCCTTCTGTTATTCCCAGGCAGTCATTACCTAGGAAATTTCTGAGAAAGCCACCCTGGAGAAAGCTAAGAGGGTTGTTAGTTGTTTGTTTGTTTGTTTGTTTCTTTTTAATATTTCTTCTAAATCTTAAATTTTCCTTCCCTTTCTATCTCTTTTTGAATATTAGACGTTTACACAGATGAAGATGACTATTGGGATTCTGATGCACTACTAAATAGTGGAATTTATCGCAATTTTTCGGGAACATTGGAGTTAATGTGTGGTCTCCCACAGCTTTTCGCTGAAGACATTACTAAGAGGGTATGTGTTGACGTAGTTCTTGGCAAAGCCGATTCTGCTTGTAATGAAGATTCAGAGTTTTCCATTTTAAGAAGTTTCTGTTTCTCTATGTAGTAACTCAGTCATTTGCAAGTCCAAAAAAATTCTGAGTTGTACTTTTACTAGTAGAATTTTAAGTCCTGATCTAGAAAAATGAATTGTCTGCTTTTAAGCACAAAAGAAGTTTACGTTGATTTAAAAAAAAAAAAAATCTTAAAAAAAGGAAAGCCTGATTTTATTTTTTTCCTAAATTTCAGTAATGGTTGGGGCATAGTCTTCACCTTTTTAATATAATCATCAAATAATTTAGGTTAGAAATGGCCTGTGAAGGTCATCTAAGCCCAATGCTAGCTAAAAATCCTGTGTGTTGTGTTCTTCTGTAAGTACACAATGACAATCTGGGTTTATAGCTGCCATTTCCGTTGAGCCATTACAGCTCTGAGTTACAGCTGAAATGAGCTGGGCAGGTATGGCAGTGCTGGTTTTGACTCATTGTGGAAAGGGAGTGTCGACAGAGTGACCCTTCCCTCTATCAAGTAAGAGTAGAAGGCTTTTTTGGTACTAATAAAAACCGAAGCTGAACAATATAAATTGCACATGGCAACATCAGCACATACATTTAGTTCACCCCCAATGCCTCCATTGTGTTAAGGTCATACAGTAATCACTCAAACACACAGATTAACCTGTCTGTCAAGCTTAAAAAGATTGTGTACCTTTTTCAGGGCAGATATTTGCTGGTATTTGACCTTCAGCACCTGTGTTTATGCCCCTTCAAACACCTTGTAAGAATGATTTGCTGTACCTTGTTTTATGGGGAAAAGAGAAAGTGAATGGAAGAAATATTGTTTTCTTTTTTTTTTCTCTCCAAGTTAACAGATGTCTACAGTTCATCTCCAGCTCTGGGACGCTACTTTAGATCAGCTCAAGTGGTATATTTCAGGTAAGTAATTTCTGTCACCAAAATTATCCAAAAATTCCAAGCGTTTGATAAGACACACACTTGCCTAAGTAAATATGCACAACATTTAAATTTGTGAAGAATAGGATGTTTGAGGGAAAGTTACAACAATAAGTAGTAAAACCTGGTTGAAAGATCATCTGGTGTAAATGGCAAGTGCTGCTGATAACATATAATGAGAGTAACGTTTTGTTGCTGTTAAATATCACCTCTGTTGTATTTGGTTCCAAGAGCAGCCCTTAATATACATACTCAAGGACATTTGTTAAAAAGAAAATGAACTGCTGGAACCACTCAAGACTGACATGGCTTAAATAGCCTTAAATAAATAAAACAGGGTTCATCAGGAGGGAAGAACTCTGTTCCCAAAGAGCTAAGGCAACAGGGGCATACAAGTCATGAGAGCCAAAACAGTAATATTGCACTGTTAGTTTGTTTGGATCATTTTTTCCTCCCACCTTATTTTGGACAACAGGAGCAAATCGCAAAGCCACAGCATGTTGGAGAGACTGGTGGAGCTGGAGTCAGGGGCAGAACTGATGGCAGAGTGGAGGCTAGGCTAGCCTGGGTGGGAGATGCTTACACATGAAGGAGAAGCTCAGCTACCAAAGGCTGATGGCGACAGAAGAGTAGCAGCGGTGGAAAGAAAAGGAAAAACATCCAGGCCTGCCTTGCAGAGGCAACAGAAAGCTTCAAGCTGGAACAGAGGAAGGGTCTTGCTCTTGGCAGAAACTGGTGCTGAAGGAAGGCTAAGGGGTTCACTGTAAAGTTTTAATCTGTGGAAATACTGCAGACTTGCAACAGGAGGGAGGCTGAGCAACAGGGGCAAAAGCAGGGCTGCAGATCAGCTGCAGCATGGTCCTGCCACGGAGAGATAGCAGAGGGGCAAGGGGAGGTGGTCAGAGAGTTTCCCCAAGGACTTCTGAAAAGGCACTGTTACAAAAGGGATTAGAAAGATTGGAGATAATCATGGGAAGTAGATTCAAAAGCCCAAGGCCCTTGAAAGAGCAAGGACAGAGGAAGACTTGCCTGGGCTGGGGCAAGGGGCAGTCATGAGGGCACTTTGGGGAGTGTGCTCCCCTGTACTGCCAGCCTTGGGCATGCTCACTCTGTTCAATAAGTGAGGTTTATGTGAAAATAATTATAATTTACACATCAAATACAAAGCTATATGTCTGCATACAGATTGACTAGCTGATCTGTCTGTCTGTCTCTTTGTCTCTTTTTCTCTTCCCCCATTCAATTGCTTTTTTGATGTCTTAGATCCTGGCTGTACAAAATGTAACTGTCAAGTTGTAGGTAGGGGATTTGGTAGACCACAAGCAATGATATCTCCAGAGATGGACTCCAGTTGGCTGGTTTACATAATCCATTCCAGCACTGGGGTAGGAGCGCAGCTAGGTTGCGCCAGGTACTGCTAACAGGAGAGCAAACCTTTCTGCAGATTCTCAGCTGACTTATGCATGAGATATTGCAGCACCTCTGCTTTTCTCGTTATGTACTTGTTAGGCACAAGTGCTGAAAACCTCACTCCATTAGGACATGTGACCACTTGCCCTTTGTGCACTTGAAAACATGTCTCAGGTTGGCTTCAGGTATGTGCCCAGTTTCTGTTAACATCAAGAGCTGCTCTGAGAAGCAGTGGGGGAGGAGGAAACTGGAGTCTTTGACGATAGTTTTCATTTATAACGCTTTTCTTTAGAACAAGTTTAAAAAAAAAAAAATCCACACCAACATGGGTATGAAAAGTCAGTTTTCTCAAAAAAGAAATGATCCAATGGTGATTTGAAGGCATTCATACTTCACTTGCTTTGTTTTGTTTTGTTTTTCAGTAATGAAAGCTCCATTGTATCTTATCAGCTAGAGTTTTCTGTACCACCATCAACAGAAGGGTTTATGGAAAACACAATGAACCCAGATTTTATAAGGAATGTTCTACGACAAAATATTTATGATGAAGATGATGCTTTTAATCCTGGGACATCTGAATGTAACAGGTTAAAGCTTGACCCAACTTCTCTCACATTAACATGTAAGTACTGTACATTCTAGGGATTGTTTCTTTACAAAGAGCTGAAGTGTTTACCTGAATAAAAGGTAAATCTTTCTGCAAAGCTGTTGAGATTTATTAGGAAATATATTTTGCACAACAATATTAAGAAAATAGTAAAATATTCCGTTTTCAAGGAAGTCTTGCTATGCTTAGCTTATTACCTAAGATTCACTATTTAGTCCTCTGGTTAGAAATGGGGTAGGGATGAGACTGCTTAGCTATGGACTCCTACCAAACTTTTCAGCTCTCTTCTTGCATGTTATTCATACAAAGAAAATCTCCTAGTATGTGTGTGTATCATAATGGGGAGCCAAATAACTAAAATTATTTCTCCTCATTATATATTATTATTTGAATGTTTATGAAACAAATTTCAATCCTAGTGAAACAGGATAAGTAATTTGGGGGTCAAGTCCTGATTATTTTTTTCCACAGTCAAAGCTGAAAAAGCCTCATGATACTTGCCTTTTCAGAGTTTTTGGGGAAAATTTATTATGCACAGAGATACCTTCTAAAGGAATCAAATATTCATTCTTCCAGGTTTTCTAGGAAGTGATTCCAATGACTACCAGTGACTAGGTAGTGATTCCAATGCATTTAGATTTGTCTTGACTGAAATGTCAGTATAAAAGTCTTATGAAAGTTTTACTGAAAACAATGCATGGAGCTGCTTCCTGCCACCTCCCACTTTCTAAGCCACACCTATGTGCTTTCAGAATAACCCTAGGCTAACACCTCACCATACAGTATATATAAGTAGGATTTGTGCTTAACTCATATTGATTTTTCTTGGTACTCAAGACAGCAACAAGTCAGGAGCTCTAATCCTCAGTATCATTTTGTTCCTTGTATATTGACAGGATTCATAAAAAACATATTGCAAAAGGGACAGGAAATAATATGCTGAAATATCTAACTAAAGCTTCATTTTAATGTTAATAATGTACCTTTTTAACTTTCAGAGTAATGAAGGAAAGACTCCTAATTTTCCTCACCACCCAGAAGAGATGGGCTTCTCCTATCTGTTAGTAAACCCATGGAAAGAAGCTATTCATTTGGTAGAAACAGTTCTAAAGATGTCCTGTAAATACTGTCTACGATGCAATATTGTAAATGGAAAATGTGGTATATTTATAACAGTGTTATAGAACATTGCTACCTCCTTCTTTACTGTTGTCCTGATATATCAGTAACCCATTTCACTCTTATGAAAATTGTGTAACTTGCCTGATGCATGCTCTGTTGGCTTTGAAATTTCTGTTTTGCCTTGCCTTATGATTAAATCTGGATTCCCTGCATGAGCTTTAAAAGCAGCCTTGCACATGGCTCCTTTCTTCTGCTCTTGAATTATCCAAAATTATCTGCACAGATTCATCGTTAATGCTCCCTTCCACGCATGCTCAGGTCTGCTACTTTCCCCCGCCAGTTTCCTGTGCTATGTTTCCCTGTTGTTCTTTCCTCTCAAACCAGCCTGAAAACTTAAATATACTTCCTATTTTCTTTAACCACATGCAAGACCTTCGCACCAGCTTTTTCTTTGAGCTTCAACTGTCATTATTCCTTTGTTCATCCTACAGTCTTCCTGGATAAGGTGGTACCTGCTCTATTTTTCTCTTCTGTAATGTGAGATAGAAATGAAGAAGGAAGAAACATTGGGAAGAAACATGTCTTGTTCACTAAAGCATCTGAATGCAACAGGAATTTTGAAAGGGTCAAATTATCTGTGTGCTTTAATAATTAGCCACTGGTACTTGTAAAAAGACAGTTATGTGACCCACATTTGTAAATTCAAAGAGAAACTAGTCTGTACCCTAATTATAATCCCTGCCCCTGCAGTGGGGATAAAAATGAACAGATGCAAGATATTTGCCTTAATAAGGCAGCAAGTAGTTGTTCTTGTTGACAAGAGATCAGATGAGATGGACCAATGCCAAGAGGAAGGTGCTGAAGCAGGCCACGCAGGCCAGTGTGGCATGAGGCTTATAGCCAGTAATTGACTATAACATGAAAATTAAAAATTAAGCATTAACTTTACATGGAACGTGATGGAGTCACTACCACGTTAGTGAAGTATAGCTTCTTGTTATTTGTTTATAGTCAGTATAATAGTAGTACTGTTGAATAGACAAATTTATTTTAAGAAACCTTTTGTATCGTGAGAAATGTATTATGGAAAATTGTGTTCCTCTTTTTCTAATATTACTAGTTTATTTAAGGAGTAATATGACAATTTTACAGTGCATTAAATTATTTATTTTTACTATTACAGAGATTGTTTTCATTCTTCAGCAGCTTCAGTCCTTCAGCTGTTTGAGTTGCAAAATAATCTTCAGAATTCTAAGTGCTGAGAGGTGTACGAACCATCTGTCTGACTCAGCTGCACGCTCAAACCCATATTTGTTGTTGCTTGAGTTTTAACTGAGCTTGGGAAACAGCCTGGACCAAATTAGTAGTTCTCATGGCTCTCATATTTGTGGCTAAATCTGGCCCCATCTTGATTTGTAAGATGTAGCGTTGGCTGTAAGAACCATAATTTCTCTTGGTGCAATACTCTATGCAGCATACAACTAGAAGAGATATTCCTTCCGATCCTTACATTGGGGAAGGATAAAATTCACGAGTCGTCCCAAAAGTATCAGGCTATGAAAATACCAGCAGCAGAGAAATGGTTTGCCTTTGAGATGCTGCTTTATCTTTTTGCTCTAAAATGACTGAATCTGCCCTTGAAAACTTCTTTAGCTTGACTCTATTTCTAAGAACTGAAAAATAATGTAATGATTCTGCCTCTTTATGGTGACACCTCTATGTGCATTAGGAGCTGACAGAAAAAAGGTGCCAAGCATTCAATTTTTTTCCAACAATCCTTCTCTGCCTCTGTAACTTTACCCCATCAATTCACAAGAAAGAAGGTGGAATTGTAGCAAGATGTTGTGATATTCAGCAGTAACTTTCTGTCTTTACAGTCTACATCCAGTCATGCTTTGAATTGAAGGAAAAGTCAAAAAACCCTACAAAATGCGGTATCTGGTTTTATCTCTTTGATGTAAACTGATCATGTAAAAGAAAATAACCAGATTCATTATTTATGACCTCATCCATTAGGGACAAAGTAGTGTGAAAACACATTATTTCATCAAGTTAGATATTTTGTGACTGCTTAATGTTAATTTTAATAGAGGGACTGTGGGTAATACATAGATGACTGAGGCAACTAAGCCACAGTTAAAACGGAACAGAAAAGATAGTTCTGGTAATTTGGCTTGTGGACTGTACAACCTGTCCTTTAAAATCCCATGGCAGGCAGTCATCTGTGCAGCCACAGCAGCCACTACAAATTTTGGGCAGATTCAGCTGTCTGTCACTGCAGAGGTACCTGCAGAGTGCTGCCTGCACTGTCCTAGCAGTGTGTCTGCTGCATTTGCCCGTGGGACCTCCGCCGGCACCAAAACTGCAGGCGGGATGCACAAAGGCACCACACTGTAAAGCCAGGGCTGCAGCCAGCGATCACATACAGAGGAGGATTTAAAATCAGAAAAACTGTTCAACGTTTTCTTCCAAATTGTTTTATTACAAAAATGGGGGGAGCCAAAAAAACCCAACAAAACACGCTTAAAGAAGAACACAGGCGCGTAATCATTTTATGAGCTCTAATGAACAGTGGAATAACTGGTTTCAGTCCTGTGTGCATGTCCACAAATGCTGCTTGCAGAGGGATGGTGGGCTACAGGGAGGGTCTGTTCTGGCATTGCAGAGAGCCAAATTCTGGGACTCCAGCAGGAGGGAGCTGGAAGCGCTGTGTCACAAAGGCAACACCTGGGAATCTTCTACTGTGAGGTGTGCAGTCACTGTCTGTGCAGCATTGGGGTTTTCATAGGTTTCATAGTTTTCTACATGGCAGTGTTTTGAAGTAGCTGGAAGTTTTGCTTTGCATGCAGTTGGTTGCTTTTTTAAAATTTAGTTCAAAATTTATTAAGACGTCATTCTAAGACAAGTACTATTACGTTAAAAGAGAGAGGGGGCAATTTGATAAATTAGTTATTTATCCATACTGTAAATTGTATCATGGTATATATAATGGTATATATCAAGCAGGCCAGAGAAACTTCAGAAAAGAGAGTAAGTGTACCTAACACAGGGTCTACTCCTTTCATTTTAAACACAAACCACCTCTAAAGAAACAAAGAAAGAAAACCACCAACAAGGGATGGGGCTTCAATTAGTAGTTCCATAAGACTCTCTTAAAAAAAAAAAAAAAAAAAAGTACTGTAAAAGTCCCGAAAAATGTGCAGCCTCAGTTGCTTCTAGTAATGAAGCACTTAATTTTCTATAGAGAAACATTGTTTTACAACGGCAGTTCCTACTGATTCCTCTTGCTTTAATTGTCAAGTCCTGTACCTTGTCCATGTCTTTTTCTCTGATCATCTTTTCGTGGACAGATTGGTCTCACTGGAAATGACCAGCAGATGTGTCCTAATGAGTAAGCTTGGTAACGAGAGAGAGACTTTTGTTTGAAGACATGACAGCAGAGGAATGGTGATTAGCATGGCTGCATACTGCTGGCTTAAACATTCAACTAAAAGAGTGCCTTGGGAGCAGAAAGTGTCCCTTTCTAAGTTACCAGGACATAATCATAATCACCGTTCTCTTCAGTGCTGATGGTATTTTCCTTCCTCTTGGGCACATTGACAAGTGCATATTCTGTCTGATTATCGGTGATAATCGCAGAGGCTTCATGTTTTACATCGTGGCTGATGGTAGAGTACCACAGTTCGTTGGAATTCATACATTCTTTTTTGGCAGAGTGTTCCTGGGGAGGGAGGGGAGAGAGAGAGAGAGAGGAGCTTCACCATGATTATACCCCGAAGAAGTTTGCAGAGTGAACAAATCTGGTACAGACTGTGTGCTCGCTCGTGCAGTGGTGTTGACCAATGTACGTGGTACTGAGAATGGTTTGTAAATCTGTGGTCATTTCCCGACTGTAGGGGCTGTGGCTGGAAAC